GATGGATGGATGGATGGATGGGTGGATGGATGGATGGATGGATGGATGGATATTACCCATAAATGTCAATTTATTTCTATAGCACATAAAAACAACAAAAGCTGGCCAAAGTGCTTTACAGTTAAGTCAGATTAAAGAGAGTAAAAAATACAGCTTTAGCCACTCAAAAAAAAAAAAACCAACATAAAGTTAACAATAAAACACAACAACAATAAAAACAGCTTTAACTTGTTCTCAAATGCCAAGGAAAACAGACGAGCCTTAATCAAAGATTTAAAAGTGTCAACAGTCTGAGCGGTCTTTAAATGATCAGGTAAACTGTTCCACAGTTTTGGAGCAGCAACCGCAAAAGTCCAATAACCTCTGGACTTCAGTTTTTATTTGGGGACATAAAAGGAACTGGTTAGGAGACCGGAGTGCTTTTACTGGAGCGTAGATGTTAAGAAGATCACATAAATAAGCTGGGGCCCAGACCTTTTAAGACTTTAACAACAAGCAATAAAATCTTAAAATCAACCCAGAAGTGGACAGGAAGCCGGTGGAGAGACGCCATGACAGGAATTATGTGTTCATGTTTTTAGTTGCTGTTAAAAGACGAGCTGCTGCGTTCTGGACGGTTTGTAAATGGTGCAAAGATAATTTGTCTAAACCAACATACAAAGCATTACAATAGTCCAAACGAGAGGTAATAAAAGCTGAATGAACAAGTTGACCTTTGAGCCCAACACTGACTGTATTTACAAAAAAACAGACAGCGTCTCCACCTTCTGTATGAACTAAGGAGCTTTAATGCAAGCAAATTTACTTTACACTTGGTGTACAGGTCACTGGTTGAAAGTGTTGTTTCATTTAAAATTGTCTCGTGGTATGGGAACCTCCTAGCCAGAGACAGGAAAACAAGTGGTCCCGGGTGGTCAGACAAGGTAGTAAAGTCATTGGTCTTCAACGAATGACACTTACAGACCTGCACAGTCAGGATCTGGAAAAAAAGGCAATCCAGGTTTACAATGACCCAACTCATCCACTGCAACCATCATTCAGGTTGGTACCATCTGGTAGAAGACTGCTGGTTCCTTTAGCAAAGAAAAATGGGTACAAAAAGTCATTTGTTCCCTCTGCGGTGAATGTACTTAACAAGGTCCTATTTAAACGCAGCCTCACATAACAAACCACTGTCTGCTGGGATGTTTCCATATTTTAATGTATCGTGTATTTTAGAATGGTTTTAACTGAATGTTTTTAATTGATTTAGCAAAGCTTGGTTTTAAAGTTTTTTTAATAACATTTTTATTGTTTTTATAAGCCAGATGTCAAAGACAAATCTCCTTTTCATTGAATGTTATGGACAATAAAGTTGAATTGATTGATTGATTGATGAATCACCTTTTCAAGGTCTCAATAAGTGAGACAAGACTTCACCTTGGCAATGAGTCTTAGCTGGAAGAAACTGGATTTCACACTGTATTTATCTGTTTGTCTAATTTAAAAGCACTATCAAAACTAACTCCCAGTTTCCTGACAGTGGAGTGGCTGTATGAAGCCAAGGGGCCAAGAGTGTCAAGGGTGTTACATTTACCAAATTCACTTCAATTTAATTTTCATTTAAATTCAGAAAATTTAATTTTAACCAGACTTTAATGTCATTTAGACAGTTCAAGAGTGGATCCAGTGGACTGACCCTGTCTGACTCATTTGGAAGATATAACTGAGTATCATCAGCAAAGCAATGAAAAGGGATGTGTTTTCTAAAAAATGGACCCCAAAGGCAACATGTAGAAATTAAAAAGCAGTGGACCTAAAATAGACCCTTGAGGGACCCCACAGATTAGAGGAGCTGGAGATGAAGAACATTCTCTTAAATCATGGGTGTCAAACCCACTTACAAAAGAGAGCTAAAATGAAAACCTTTTTTCAAACTGTGGGCCAGTTTCAGAATCTACATGAACTTAAGTCAGATACCCAGTATCTTTCTTGGTTGCAGGTTCCTCAACAAGAGTTTGATTGGTCTCATTTGACGTTCTCTGTTGCACTTTTGACATCATAATCAAAAATTACTGAAAAAAATTAAAGTGATAAAAGTATTTTACATTTAAGATAACATCTTGGGGGCCAGATAAGATGTCAACGAGGGCCACATTTGGCCCTCGGACCTTAAGCTTGACACATATGCCCTAAATGAACAGATGGAGGTCTAAAAGCACTAAAACAGCAGAGCTTCCTGCATCAACGGTTAAAAGAAGGTCATTAAAACCCTTTAAAGTATCTCTCAAATGCAGGTGACACTGTGTTCGCCCTGCCATGAACTTCCGTTGCCCCGAACATTTAAACATATTTCTTTTCATCATCAGCTCCAATCCAAGATGCCATAAAGTGGTACTGAATAAGTTTCTCTGAAAATAAACTAATGCTGCAGTAAACTGTCTTTCATAACGTCTGAGAAAATTAAAATCTACATTCCCAGACTTATTGCTAAGCAAACTATCTTGTTATTCATATGTAAGGCTCGGAGCTTTTGTATGATGAATGTCTACTTGTATTTTTCTGATTCTGTCTCCACAGGTGTCACCGCCAACTCTGTTCATCCTGGTGTTGTCATGACAGAAGTGATGAGACACTATTCATTTTGGGTCCGTTATCTTTTTAACATCGCTGGTGTTCTCTTCTTAAAAGTAAGTGTGTTGTTGGATTTCACCACCGAGTCACAGTCGTAAGAGTTATTAATGCCTCTATTGTTGTTGAGCAGTCTGTTTCTGTTAAAACGACCACGAAACCAACGAGACGGGACTCGGATCTGAAGCTGGAGTTACTCACGTGTGATTAAAGACATGTGTTACTGTTGAGCAATGCTAACACTTACACCATATTTATATAAAAGCGAGGAATTTTCCTGTGAGCGTGCACAAACCATTAATGAATCGATTGTTAAATTATTCTTCCTTCTTCTGTCAAAGCTCAGAACTTGACATTGACTTGAAGGGTAAGGATCAGACACATGTAGAAATAAATCAAGCTCAAGGTCGGCAGGCAATAATCAAAGATAAAGAGAACTTTGACCGGCTGTAAAACCGATGGATGTTTACTACGCAGAGGAAAGTGGATGCAGCTGAGTGGAAAACCAGCAAATGTTCATGGTTTTGGAGAAGCAATTTCTTTCCCCGTTTTGGAAGTTCTCTACTTCAGAAGAGCAATTCTGTCATTAAAGTGGAATTCTCCAAATGACACAGAAAGCAGTTGATGTTTGTTCAGCCTCAGACAAAGCAGAGGCTGAACAAAACAGGCAACTGAACAACTACAGAGCAAGAGAATCAAGACAGTCCCAGTCCAACATTTTCAGTCAGGTCATCTGGACAGTTTCTTTGTTTTGTGCTGAAACGTTTCACCTGTCAGTATAGAATCAGTTTTGTTGTGTGTTCCCTTGACTGATGAAGCCTTCTGGATCGAAGGCGAAATGTTTCAGCACAAAAAAAAGAAACTGTCCAGATGACCTGACTGAAAAATGTTGGATTATATACCTGGATTAATGAGCATGGACTTTGTTGACAGCCCCAGTGATACTTTCAGGCAGTCAAAGCTGAGACTGTTGGATAAAATAATATCCTCTCCTTTTTACTCAAATTGCTGTTTTTTTTTTTTTTATTCCTGCTATTTCCCTGAATGCATTTCATTCTTTCTTTCATAAGTTACAGTTTTAGAGACTATGTCTAATGACTCCTTGTACACAGCTGATGGGAATTCAGAACTAATGCAACAAAGCATCGTCAGTAATTTATTCCCATTTTATTTAACTGTCATGTTAAAATAAGATTGAACGTCGATGATGTGTTTTCAGTTTTAAAAGTGTTAAAGCTGGACATAATATAAACATTGCTCTTACCAAGTCTGAAAATAAGGTAAATTTAACCTCCAATGGCAACAAAATTAATTATCTATCTATCTATCTATCTATCTATCTATCTATCTATCTATCTAT